TTCACTGTAAAATTTCAGACAAATTTTCATAACTATTCTGTTTGTTTTATGTATTTATTACCTTTAAAATTGACGTATATTGTAGATAATGTTACCTGTTGACCTGGAGGATGATATCGTGCCCAAATATCTGGAAGGTAAATAAAAAGTTTTTGAATTCTTTTAAAGGAAAATGTTGCTTCAATTGTCTCCATGATTGTAGGATTGGAAAATATTTCATGGTAAGCTAAAGCTCGCATATTAAAAAGCTCATTTGAACCAAAAGCTCATATGAAGCAAATGTTCGTATTACAATATAGCTCGTGAATCTTTAACTCGTATGGACAAACAGCTTGTATTTTTGAGTAACAAGTGAAAATTTTTCCGTATTATTTTTTAGACGAGGACGAACAAGATGGTCAGCAATCGTCAAAAGGTTTGAAAAACAGAGGAGGAAATGCCTCAAGAAACAGTTGAAGAAACAAAAGAACAAGACAGCATCAGTTTACATAGTACGCCTAGTTTACGATTTGAACCTGTCGAAGAACACGAACCAGGTAACTATGTGTTAGAAATCGAGATTAATAATTTGTTGTCACAGCCTGCTGCCATTTACGTGTTTAATTTATTTAATTTGTTTAATTTATTTTTATTTTATTTATTTATTTATTTATTTTGGTTTATTGAAAGGCGTAGAAAAACGTATAATTGATATATGCGTTTGAAAAACTCAATCTGAAGTAAACAGCGACGTCATGTAACATTTCCTGAAACTGCTTATGTTCAAAATTTACATTTTTGCAATGTTTGAAACAATAATGTTGTTAATTGTTGCTAATAGAACTAATAATGTTACTAATTTGTAATTATTACTACTTCTCCTTTTAACACTTATTTTTCATAAAAAAACTAACTTAAGGAACTTTTTTTGCTTTATTTTTTGGCATTCGTTGCTTATTTTATTTTATTTTAGAAGACCTCTAATAAGATAAATTAGCCCTTTGTTTGACATATTCAAAAGTTCGATTTTTACCGACAAATGAAAAAATCGTCTGTGCGTGAATACGGAAATGTTCAACAAACACCCGAGTGTTTTAAATTTTTCATGTATCTACTTTAACGTCGTAAAATCATCTCATTATTTTAGTTGTGCAGACGGAGAGGATGCTGTTCAATTCATTGATCATTAAGTGTGTCGTTCAATTGGAACTTATCCAAATGATCGACAATGTCGTCTTTTTCCCAAGCACCAGCAAGCGAGAAGATGAAGATACTATACAACAGGTCAGTTATAATTGCGGTCATTGTAGGTAATACTGAGATAAATTGCTTTGTCGTAATGTTGTTATACCAGAGTTCCCTGGCATAACAAAGTTCCTGAAGTACAGAATATGTAATATACAGAAAAGTCACTTGTGTCGGAACCATTGATGTTTTATCCTCAAGCATTGTGCGCGCATATCGATGGCATTATTCCAGCAAGATGGTTTCATTTTGTTTCCAACACTAAAATGAACCGACGTCATTTCTTATATTGAAATATTTTTAATTTCATTACGAAGTAATGACGTCATGTAATTGTAGTGTTTGGAAACAAATGAAAACCCTAAATATATTGCTGGAATAATATGCCATGAGGACGCAGTGCACTTGAGGCCCTTCTCTATAATTATTATTCTGTGGTTGGGGGGTGTCACAAAGTCATATATGCATCTCTTAATCTGTAGAGAACAATTGATTTCACTGGAAGTTAATACAAAAACATGAGTATATGAACCTCCCTATTTATCGAGTTCACATTTGGTACCTCTTTCTTTAGACACGTATTTCAATAACTATCCTCAAGAGACTTTATAGAATAAACGATTTCCTTGGGTTGAATTCCTTAAAGTTCGTTATGTGTTGTATGCAGGCTTGTAAGATCCTCTTTCACCTGATTGGTCAAACTGATTCTCTAAATCACCTACAATGGTGTAATAAATCATCTTTCACTTGATTGGTCAAACTGATTCTCTAAATCATCTACAACCGTGTAGTAAATCCTCTTACCTGATTGGTCAAATTGATTCTCTAAATCACCTCACGTGTAATAAATCATCTTTCACTTGATTGGTCAAACTGATTCTCTAAATCACCTACAATGATGTAAACCTCTTCACCTGGTTGGTCAAACTGATTCTCAAATCACCTACAATGGTGTAATAAATCATCTTTCACTTGATTGGTCAAACTGATTCTCTAAACCACCGGTGTAGTAAACTCTTTCACCTGATTGGTCAAACTGATTAAATCACCTACAATGATTTAGTAAATCCTCTTTTACCTGGTTGGTCAAACTGATTCTCTAAATCACCTACAATGATTTAGTAAATCCTCTTTCACCTGATTGGTCAAACTGATTCTCTAAATCACCTACAATGTTGTAGTAAACTTTTACCTGGTTGGTCAAACTGATTCTAAATCACCTACAATGATTTAGTAAATCCTTCTTACCTGATTGGTCAAACTGATTCTCTAAATCACCTACAATGTTGTAGTAAATCCTCTTTACCTGGTTGGTCAAACTGATTCTTAAATCACCTACAATGATTTAGTAAATCCTCTTTACCTGATTGGTCAAACTGATTCTCTAAATCACCTACAATGTTGTAGTAAACTCTCTTTACATGATTGGTCAAACTGATTCTCTAAATCACCTACAATGGTGTAGTAAATCCTCTTTTACCTGGTTGGTCAAACTGATTCTCTAAATCACCTACAATGGTGTAGTAAATCCTCTTTCACCTGGTTGGTCAAACTGATTCTCTAAATCACCTACAATGATGTAGTAAATCCTCTTTCACCTGATTTGTCAAACTGATTCACAAAATCGCCGGGATTGATGTAAAAATAGACAAATTGCAATTTTTACGAATTTTACTTTCCTTCGCGAAATACCAAAAGAAATCATAGAACTGAGCTATGTGATCACCGGAGTGCTATCGTGGTGATTACACACACATTGGAGTCGGACTATTTACTTAAAAAATAGCCATTTAAATACCATATGTAGCTACAACCGTGTTTTTCCAGAGAGTGATTGTCAACCATGATCCAATCAAATGCGCTCTTTGAGAGTTTTGCATCTTGGTTTTTGACGTTTATTTAACAAGAGCTGAACTTTCATACAATTTCATGTCTTGACATTGTTATAAGTAGCAACGATACACTGTAGTCAGAGTTGTTTACTTTCAATAATCGTACATGTCTCATTATAATTATTGACTTAGTTTTTCATTATTTCAGTGTCTCAACACTCCTCGACGAACCGGTAAACGAAAACACGACGGAATGTTTCCACATCTTACATCTAACCAACTGTTTTTGTTTTGCGAAGTGCTGGAGAACTCGTATAAGTTTGCTAAAGGCTTCAATTTTAACAGCAAGCTGAGGACGGCGCTTTGGAAAGCTGGTAAACGCTTCATTAATATATTGTACCATTTGACACGAGCGACACATTTTTGTACAATTTCTATTCGAATTGGAAATTAATACACGAGTAAAAACATCACATTCAAAACGTTCAAGCAAAAAGGCAAATTTGTGGCTGTCCTTCCTATTAGGGCACTCACTCCAAAAGCTGTACATGTCCGTATACCTAGACACCCACATGCAGCGTGACCAAGTTTGTTTACCAGATTTGGTCGTATAAGCTTAAATTGTCCTCCCCCCCTTTTCTGAATGTTGCATCTACATAAAACAGGAGGAAAATTCTAAGGTCATTAGACTAAGTCTTGTGAAAGTAAGAAACATTTGCTTTTATGGTTTTTTTTCTAATAAATAAAGATAAAAAGAGCAAATTCAAAAGAGGAGAATGAAAAAACTTGATCCAGGTTTTATAGGACAGGAGTAAAGATGCCTCAGATTTTGCTGGACTTCCATCAAAACTTGAATCAGAATCCTCGGTGTCATAGGCTTGATGAGGACACTTTGATGTTGTCCATGTTTCTTCTCCTTTACGTTTAAGCGGGGTCCTCGATTGCTCGTACTCTGATAGCGTAATAAAAACCAAAGGATAATCCGTTCCCTTTTATTTGGGGTTCTTCTTATCAAGGCAAAATAATTTGAGCAAATGAAAGTACCTTGTGCACCAGGCTTCGGGTTAAAGTCATCCGCTCTGCTGTTTGCAATTGTTTTCACCAAATTTCAGCAAGTGCTTGATCTTTGGGCCACTTATGAAAAACTAAATTTTCTACATGAGACCTCTTAACTTGGTAATAGGGATAGCTTATATCATTATCGCAATATCCAACTGCACAACGCGCATTTTTTACCATTTTGGCTATGACTGCTCACGGCTACTCGGCTAGTTTAGGGTTTAGTTCGTTTGACTTGGCTTATGAGATCCGCACATTTGCGAACCCAAGAACATCGCTCAAACGACGGTCAAGTTGTTCAAAAACAAATGTTTTCTTTAACTTTCCGCTTTTTGATTACCACAAAATTGGACTCACGTGTATAAAAAATTGCAAATAATAGTTTGACTATTAAAATGGATGAGTTTGAGAAATATTTTTGAAAGAAATGGCCAATATGTATATTGTATAAGGGTAATTTTTGCGCATTTATTAGTAATTTATATGGACGCCATGCGTGACCGCGCGCTCGGCGCAATGTTTTGGCACCCCCTGCAACATGGCTGCGATAACCTTGAAAAGGTCTATTATGAAGGATCACGGTGGTCTATTTTTACAATTTGAAGATAAATAAAAAAATCATGTTTCAACTAGGATTTTGTGATTAAATCTTTCAATTTTTTCTTCAAGAGGCCAAGTGCTGCAAGTAAATAGTTGGCTTTCACTCGTTATTTTTTTTTTAAATGGATACTAAAATATTTCAGTTTCTAAAGAAAAATTACAACATAATAATCTATTTTAAAAAGCGTTCATTGAATTTCTAAAAGAAAAAATCTCGCTAAGTAATTGCATGAAGCATAAAACTTGTGCGATCAAAAAAAGCAAGAGACAAAGTAACAGGAGTCAAATTGAAAAGAAAAATTTTAAACTGCGACGTTATTTCAAACTGAATCAAAGGTTTTACCAAAATCAAAGGAGACCACTCGAACAAAATCTGTATTCTCGTTCAACCATTTTAACCAAAGTTACCGACGTTTGTAGCCCATGCAACTTAACTAACATATATTACTGAAAGTACTTAACAAAAAAACGGAAAATGCCAAATGAGAAATTAATTTAACCTAGTGCAGAGAAGCCTAACCTCATCAAAGGAGCCTTTGTTAAAAGATATTATATCTTTCTTAAATGAAGTACGATTACTCAATGTTTCCTGTTTCTAGTTTGTTATTTGCATTTTTATTTGATGGAGAAACTTTTCCTTTTTGTTTCAATGCAATAAACCATATTTAATCATTAGTACTTTGCTTGAAGTTTTCTCTTGTGCCAAAGAAGACAAGTACCTCTAAAGTTTGAACGCTTCTACCAAGGTATTTATAAAAACAACTAATATTTGAAATACCATCGATCAATTTTCTCTAAAAGCGATTGTCCCTCAAGTTTAGTCACGCTATGAAAATTTCAGAACTTTATGATCATTTATTTCTTTGGAAACCTATTGTTTTCATTGAGAGTCTTTCACTGATTATCAGAAAGTTTAATAAAATCAATTGTGTTTTTTTAATGTACACCGTGAATGTTTATCGACATCAAAACAATGTTCTAAAGCTATTCATCCGACATCACTATTTACTTAATAAAACTTAAACAGAGAAAACAACTTAAACTGTGTTTGCATTAGCCTGTACAAACGTGCGTATCTGAGCTACATGAATTATATCAATCAAAGATAATTTGCAAATGAATCATGAATACATGTTAGAGAAAAATTTTAAACTTTCTTGAAGTTGTCTGTTTCGCATTACTATTATTTACAAAAGAACTAAAAGATGTTTTTTGTGTTTGTACTCGCTTATGTAAACCTTGAGACGTAAGTGAGAACTCTCTAGCTGGTGCAAACTGTCAACTGTGTAAAGCTTGCACTAACATTGTCTCCAGTTCTACCAAATATCACTTCCGTTTGCTTAACCCTGTACAACAATTAAGCATCTTTTATTTCCAAATCCCATCCTATATTCAGTCTTTACAATCCTCTTGTTTAAATTTTTCGGTGTGTGTGCAAGAGGTGAGGTGTGACCTTTCCTTACTAATTATCAATATACCAACAATTAAATTTTTTATTTTATCTTCCTGTCATCCATTAATATCCATTCATATTATCCATTAATGTCCATTCGTGTCCTTTATTGCAGAAGCACAGACTGTCGTTGATATATATTTAAATTACGACTGTGAATTCGCATTTTTAATATCTTTCAAAGATTGATCAATGATTGGTCTAAAGTTGCCCAAGGATGTCAAGCTCTATTGAATTAGGAGCGACACCAGTAAGTTGATGAATATGTTTCAAACTGTTTAGTTCTCTACATTTTCTTGTTCATATCTATGCCACTGAAAAGGACTGGAACGTAGTCTATTATGAAAAAACTGGGACATAGTCTATCAACATGAAAAGGAGTAGAACATGTCTCTAATTTTGTGCTGACAATGTTGATTATAATACATCTTTTATCACGCTTTTATATGAATAGTATCAATGTCATCTTGTTTTTATATGATTTTCCAGGTTCAAGAACGCAGTGTATCAAAGGTCTGGAATGTCTCGCTTCTATTCTTAAATGTATGGTAGAATGGAGCAGGGATCTTTACTTTAAACCTGGTTCTCAGGAGGCCGATAATTTTGGTGAGTTTTAACATCTTTATGAAACTGAAGAAACTCGCATGTAGCTTAATATAAACTTAATATTGTTATACATTTCATAACTTATCGCTTTATGATCCATTGTACTTCTCTCTTTGATATCGGCTACACTGAAGAATTTTGTCTCCATCAAGATTCCATCTTTCTATACTCTGTATCCCTATTTATCGAAGGTACTCCATTATTTTCTTATACACACGTTAATGTTCTTAATCATAACTAGTTGTTCGACAATTGTAGTTAACCTCTCAGGATCTAAGTTATCCCTTGGTTATCTTTTTCCCTTGCTGGTGTCGCTGTGGATCAAGGCTAAATCTTAATGTTTATAGTTACTGATTATTGACTCATACCTCACTAGTCTATCTCTCAATAATCTATACTATCTTCCCGATAATCTAGGCTATCTGTTAATGATCTATGCTAACCTCTTAATGATCCATGCAATCCCTTATTGATCTTCAAATCATCATAGTTATTCCTCAATACTTCTGTTTAATCTCTTCCATATAAATTTCCTGACAGATCTGGTTGATCGTACCTAACAATTTCTAAAAGGAAGCACCAAGGAGAAGAAAACAGGGGGAGCACGGTGATTTATAATCTCAAAAAATGGGGGGTAGTCACTTGTCTCTCAGAAGTACAAAAGCCATCGATAATGCTGAAGAATTTGAGACTCTTAAACAGAAGAGGAGACGAGAGAAAAGGGAATTTAATTGTAAGTTTGGTCAACAATTTGCTTATCTTTTGTACTTTTATTCAATTTTACTATTTACTTTAAGATTTAACAAGAATCCATCAAAAGGTATGGAATTGCTTCAATCTGAAGGTCTCCTTCGTGAGACAGCAACCAAAGTCGCTCAATTCTTACATGCAGATGATACACTAGACAAGGTGATGATCATTTAAGTGTTAATCTATGAACCATGTGTTAATTTTTTTCATTTAACATCAACAATAATTTAGGACAGGTTTTGACGATTTTCGGTTGACAATGTTGATTATAATACATCTTTACAGATTTGCAAAGTGAGAAACATCGTCGTATGTTGTATTCTATGGAAATGGAGCAGATGGCGGAAAACGCCAAAAAACAAATGGAAGACGTGAGTCATATTCAGACGGATTTCGTCACTGCGACACAGATTGGTCACGTGAAGACAATGTTCAAGGTACGGGGGGTGGAGTCTGGAGGATAATCTATGTGGTGTATGTAAGGATTGATTAACGAAGCGTGAATTGTGATGTCAACTTATATGGACAGTGCCAAGTACGGGGGCGTAGATTTCAAACATGATGACATTCATCTTAATCTTGTTAAAGAAAAGACTTAGATTTTATGTAATGAATGTTTGCGATGACGAAGAGTAAATCTGTTTGATAATCTAATATATTAACTGAGCAGTGAATGATTTGACTGAATTTTCTTTTGAGATAATCCACTACTTAAGCTAAATCTGCTTCTTACAACCTGCCCAGTCCCCATTGTTAACCATTTTGTTTTGTGTGTTTAAGGTTGCATGGAGTCCGTTTCTTGCCGCGTTCAGCTTCAATCTACAAGACAACGACGATTCTTCTGTTGCTTTATTTTGTCTTGATGGAATCCGCTGTGCAATAAGAATATCTTGCATATTCAGCATGCCTGTAAGTTGATAAACATACAAAAATGTGTTCTTTTTTATATATTTGGGTATGAAATAACGACATTAATGTCTCTGCATACCTTTTCATCACCTGGTGACCCTTTCTCGGACATAAATATGTATTCAAAAATATGTTGAATGTTGAATTGTTGAAATTTATGAATATATTTACGTAGTTACATACACGTCATGTTCTTTGCGTGTTATATGTTCAAGGTTTAGATTATACTCATATGTATACAATAAAAACAGATGTTTGTTTACCTTTGAATTAATTGTCTGTTTGTGTACATATATGGATATATCAGAATGCATGTGAATGTGAAATAATCTTTTCTTAAAAGTTTTTCAATGATTACAGCTAGTTATAATGATGTTAGGGAATATGAATGGAGATTCTTTACCATTAAGTTCATTTTTCGATACTCCTAATAACTCTTTTCACATTGTAGTTGGAAAGAAATGCTTTCGTACAAGCTCTATCCAGGTTCACTTTAATTACTGCGACCAGTGGCACGCATATTCATGAAATGAAAACGAAGAACATGGAGACGATCAAGACACTTCTTACCATCGCTCAAACGGATGGTAATTACATCGGGAAGTCTTGGCTCGAGGTAGAGAATCATCTTGCTATATATTATGGTTGGTGTCTACGACTGAAAATATGATCGATTGTTTTTCATCAAAGGAAAAGTCTAGGTCTTGTCTGTAGTCTTATCTTCACGATATTGCTACAGTCTTTACCTTTCATTTTTCCAAGTGCTTTGTTGACCGTATTTCATACCCTTCATCAGAGAATCGTATCACAAATGTACTTCTGTAATAAATATACATAAGAAAATGAAGTTTTTTCTCAAGATATTTTTTATTTGAAGATATTTTCTACGTATGTATTTAACGTTTATGTTCGTCTTGTTGAACACTCGTTTTCGTTGCTCAAATGCTCGTTCCGCTCGGCGCATATTTTACTTTTCCCTAAAGTCATTGTTTTCATTCTAGATACTGAAATGCATTTCCCAACTTGAATTGGCTCAACTTATCGGTACTGGTGTGAAAACGCGATACCTTCACACGGCGTCCAGCGGTGTTACTAATTCACCCACAGCATTCATCGCAAACAACAAGACACCTTATGATATAACCTCAGGTTGCTTATAACATTGTTGTGACGCTCGTAAATGTCAAATACTAACGTTGTGCTTTTCTTTGTTTGTATTTCTATGAAGGTCGGATGCCTGTTGCCGCTGACTCGAAAGCGGCTGGCTCACAGGAAGCCATTTGGGAGACCGCTGCACAAAGTGTTGTCGTTGCAGTTGACTGGTAACGTTTACTTTAATGATAGCTATGGGGATTGTCTTTGTGACCTATCTCCCACCCCAGGGCGAAGCTAGAACTTTAATGCAGGGGAGAGGTGAATATTCATATATATGGTCATACATTCCGCTGTGACCAACTAATTTCTTTTCAAATTAAAATAGCTTTTAAACCAAATCAGTCAAGCAAAACTAAATATTCACCCTCCCATCCAGCGTTCTTGCTTCTTCCCTTCCCCCCTGCCAGAAATCTTTAAAATTGTCTTCAAGGTAGAGTTGGGCTTGTAACAGCAAGAAATGTTGATGGATGATTCTCTATGTAGACATGTTCATTATCCGTGTTAGCAGAGTCCTGAGAAGGACTGTTATTGTTATTGTTGACTGACGTTTTGACATCCTTAGCGGTAGTCATCTTCAGGCTTAAGTGAACCAGAGAACCTTGAATATAAACATGAAAATAAATTTTAAAGAACTCCTGCACTGTCTTTGCGTTATGTTCTCTCAGCAGAATATCTTCATCTCAACTTCTTCATTGTGTTTTATTACGTTTAGAGTTTTCACGGGATCAGTGAAACTGGATGGTGATGCTATCGGTAGGTTTGCATGTATACATTAAAATGCATCTTACATAAGATTTTTATACATCTAACTTGACCATAATTCACTGACCATTGTTTATCCCAAGTACCCAAATTTCTAGTATCCAAATTCCCTGTTCCCAAATACCAAAACCCAAGTATCCAAATCCCAAGTATCCCAAATCCCCAGTGTCCCAAATCCCCAGTATGCAAATCCCCAGTTCTCAAATCCCAGTATCGTTATCTCCTGTATCCAAATCTCAAAATCGTTTTTCTCCTAAGTCGATTTCGTGGAAGGTTTACGTCAAGTCTCGGAAGTTCAGCTTTCCAATCCTACAATGATACGTATGTTTAGTCTGCAGAAGATCGTAGAGATTGCTTATTACAATATTGTTCGTATTCGGGTGCAATGGTCACGAATATGGGCTGTGTTGGGAGATCATTATAACAAGGTTAGCAATTATTAACGACTAAGACTGTATCTTGATATTATGGTTAATAACATCACGTTGTTATGATGTACTCAGGTATAGTAACAAGATAATCATTGTCTTCAATGTTCTATGAACTACACTATCAGATCAATTGTGAACTATGATGATATTTTAAAACACAGTTCTAGTTTCTTTCATATCTCAAGTATAAAACAATATAATCAATGCCTTCATCTCCAATGTTCTACCAACTATAGTACTTCTCCATCTTAGATAATTCATGTGTCATTTTAATGTGGTTGTAACTCTAATAAAGAAGTTGCGTTCTTCTTTGCGACAATTATCCATGAAGTTCTTGGAAAAGGGAATTGCCAAATTTCCGATTTCAAAAGGATTTTCTCCGACCCTTCGAACACATAATGAAGAAAAACAGGTAAGTTTATGCAGGAGTCAATTCTGTCAGAAAATGTAAATTTTCTTGCAGCTTGAAAATCTTTCTCTCAAATAAACAAAATTTGTGGCAGACTTTGTAGATTCTTTTCCAAGTTATAATTTTACGACGAATTTTACAAAGGACGTCTTTCGATCAATCGCTCTGTCTTGTCTCTTATAATTGGAAGGATTTGATTAAAATTCTTTCTTCAATATCTTTATGAACTTGGCAACAAGGACTGCAATTTTCAGTCTACGATTTGCTTGAATCAACAACTGGATTTTTCACATTTTAGTTCTTCCACAATTCGAGATATGGTCGTACGATGTGTCACACAAATGGTTCATTCGCAAGCCGCAAACATCAAATCTGGTTGGAAAAATGTTTTCTCCGTTTTTCATTTGGCTGCGTCCGATCATGATGAAGGAATCGTGGAACTCGCTTTTCAAACAACAGGTTTGTAGTTTAAGGAAGGAGATTT